AGATTCTCATATGAGTGAACAACTTAATCTAAAAAGTTGTTTAGCAAATCAAAGTCAAAAAAAAGAAGGGTTTCTAATGGCACACCAAAGTCTGCCTCTTGCAATAGTTATCAAGTAATTAATTGAATAAGAACTTACTGCACATTTATCAAATTTGCAATTAGCAAAACTCAAAGATCTGACCATTACAGAAGAATTCCAAGTGTTTTACGTAATAATCACCCTCTCCAGGAGGTAGAGCTTAATTTTTCCACTCTCCCAAATGTGAGCAGCATTTATTGATTTGCTTCCAAGGAATGGCATAAGGAAAAGTGAGGAAAAAGTAACTCTACAGTGGAGAAATCTTACAAACATGATAGCATGTGTCTCTGAAATGTGGTAAGAAGGGCACTTCACCTCTGTGATATTCAGCCCAAAAACCCATAGCCTCAGTCTAACCACGAGAAAAACATCATTTAAAAAATAATAATAAATCAAAGGATATTCTACAAAATACCTGTCCTGTATAACTCAAAACTGTCCAGGTCATGAAAAACAAGGAAAGATTGAGATACTATTATAAATCAGAGGATACTAGACAGACCTGAAGACTAAATGCAATGTAGTATCTTAGAAGGGATACTGGTTTTTAAAAAGTGAAATCCATGGAGAAGGAAATGGCAACCCACTCCAGTATTCTTGCTTGGGAAATTCCATGGACAGAGCAGCCTGGTGGGCTACAGTCCATGGTGTCACAAAAGAGTCGGACATGACTTAGTGATTAAACAACAATAAAGTATGTTAGCTATGGAACCAGAGTTCCAAGGTCCAGTAGAAACATAGAAGAGAAAAGCAAGCAATGAGAGGCTGGATAAGAAACTGGAAACAGAGTGCTAATAAAAAAATAAATAAATAAAATTAAAAGTGAAATCCAAATAAAGTTTAGAGTTGAGCTAATGGTAATGCGCCAACTTTGGCTTGTCACAGGTGTAATGTGACGTGGTAATGTAAGATGTTAATAATAAGAGGAACTGGGTTAGGGGTGTACTTGAACTCTAGGCTACCTTATAGTTTTTCTATAAATTAAAAAAATTCTGAAATTAAAAGTTTACTAAAATTTTGAACTGAAAATATCAAATGACCTCTTCATTTAAGCACACACACCTATATTTTTTACCTCTTTCAACTAAAAAGTTCAAGAAGTAATGATACCCCAGTATCAGTGAACATGTGCAGCAACCAGATTTGGTCTTTGAATACCACTCCCATAACAAAACAGCTGTCTGTGGAAAAATCCTTACTCTGGGACTTGGAAAGGCATGTACTAGGATAATAAGTAAGCTTTTAAAGACTAATAAGGTCATGTCAAAACAAAGCAATCAGGGACTCCCACTGGCCAAATCTTGGACAACTTAAACATCAAAAAAAAAAAAAAAGACTCCAACTGACTGAAACACAGGAAAATTGTAAAATCATGAACACTGGTAATTGCAAAAGAAAAAAAACACAATCATCATCACCAATAGCAACAACTCATTTAACAACACTAATCTGTAAGCTAAAAATGAGTAATAAAAGGGTAATGACTAAGCATTTATCCTGACTCTTCAGTAGGAATTGTATTTCAGGGGAACCAATTAATACCAGTTACTGAGGAAAAGTACTTCCTTTGGAAGAGTGCCAGCAAGTAAAAGTAGATGAAATAGCAAAATTAGAAAACCCCTACCTTGAAGTCCTCAATGAAACAAAATAAATGATTCAGGTATGAATAATCAATGGATGCTAAACTTATTAATTGAAAGGATGAATAGAATCCGGATATTAACGTGGTACCAAGGTATTTTCCCACAAAGTTCTTTCCTATCTCAAGCATGTAATATTAACTTTACAAAGGAGGAATCAGATATTCCAACTTACCCCAGGGATCAGTCTTAATTTCTAGTCACTAACAGTGACAACAACCAGATAATATATGCCACCTGATATTAGACAATTTCTAGTCACTAACAGTGACAACAACCAGATAATATATGCCACCTGATATTAGACAATTTCTAGTCACTAACAGTGACAACAACCAGATAATATATGCCACCTGATATTAGACAATATGGATTATAATCAAGCCTTTGGATCTTCTATAGGAAATACTGGAGATAAAGAAAAAACTTAGATGATAGCAAAAGGAAGCAATTAGAAAATCAGGCAGAAAAATCTCATAGAGGACAACTAGACCTGTCTTTTAACAAACCTATGGGAAAGAAAATGGTTAAGGGTCACTGTAGATTAAAAGTTAAGTAAGAGACAAAACCAATACAATATTGTAAAGTACTTAGCCTCCAAAAAATAAATAAATAAATAAATAAAATTTTAAAAAATAAATAAAATGAGATACAGTTTAAAAAGAAAAAAGAGAGGTACAAAATAGATGTGCTGTGTATTACTTGATTGGATCCATGTCGAACAAACCAGCATTAAAACACATTTTGAGAGCAAAGGAGGAAATTTAAATATGGAATGTTAATTAGAAATATTGAGGAATTCTAAAGAATTTTGTTAAAAGTAATAATGGAACTACATTTACATAGAAAGCATCTGTCATTTTAAAGGGAACACACTGAAGTATTTCAAAATGAAAGGTCTGTTTTTTTTAATATTATAGTTGATTTATAATATTAGTTTTAGGTACATAACAGAGCAATTCAATATTTTATGGATTACACTCCACTTAAAATTACTACAAACTAATGGCTATATTTCTGTATATTATACAATATACCTTTGTTGTCTATTTATCTATATAAAGTAGCCTGTATCCCCTTAATCCCATACCCCTATGTCACCCCTCTCCCCACTCATCACTGGTAACCACTGGTTGAGTCTCCCCGTCCATGAGTCTGTTTCTGTTTTGTTATATAAAAACAGTGTCTTCACTGTTAAATAATTCAAAAATTACAAAAATGAGCTGAAATAAATAAATAAAAAGATATTTATAACTGCTAAATCTAGGTAAAGAGTAGATGGCTATTATACTAACCCCTCTATTTGTCTCTCCATTTGAAATTGTTTACAGTAAAAAGTGAATTATAGATGAATAGGTAAATAGATATAAAATATACACTGAGTCAATAAAAGGCTTCCCCAATGGTTCAGCAGTAGAGAATCTGCCTGCCTATGCCAGGAGCCGCAGGAAACAAGGGTTTGATCTCTGGGTTGGGAAGATCTCCTGGAAGAGGAAATGGCAACCCATGCCAGTATTCTCGCCTGGAGAATCTCATGAAGGATTCTTGCCTGGAGAATCCCATGGACAGAGGAGCCTGGCAGGCTACAGTCCATAGGATCACACAGAGTCAGACACGACTGAAGCAACTTACCATACACGCATGAGTCAAAAAAAAATCATAAAAAGCAGAGAGAGTCACATTATTTGGAGATCAGGAGCAAGTGATGGCAAAGTTAAATAGTTGTCATGATTTAAAGGAGTAATATTCACATAACATTTGCAATTTTAGAGTTTTATGTTAATTTTATATGTTGTCAAGAATTCTATTTCTTCCCATCTAAACCTTTGATAGCTCACAATTACATACAGGATGCAACAATTTAATTGCAGAAGAGAAAATAAGCTTATTCTTGTTTTTTTCCTGCATTTTCCATTATAACAGTGTAGCAAATGACACATTTTAATAAATAATAGAGCACTGGCTTGAAACTCAAGAGACATGTATTCTCTTCAGAACTGATTATTAACAAAGCACTGGATAGGGACTTCCCTGGTGGTCCAGTGGCTAAGACGCCATGCTCTCAATGCAGGCGACCCGGGTTCGATCCCTGGGGAACCCAGGGAACTGATCCCACATGCTTCAACTAAGACCTGGTACATCCAAATTTTAAAAAAAAGCTCTGGATAGTACTGAACAAGTCACCCAATAGCTAAAAAGACAGAAGGAAAGCATAGTCCCTTTATGTATCAAGAGACTATCAGGAGGGAAAAAGGGGTATAAACAACATATTTTATGTACATTTTCAAAACATCATCATACTAACTCAAGATGAATATCACTATTTTAAATCATCAGAGCTATTTTAAAATCAGCCATCACTGGAGATACTGAAGGGTTTTTTGTATTGTTTTTGTTTTTGTTTTTTTGTCTTTTCCTTTCCAATTGATTATTTGTTTGACATGATCTATTTAGCAAATTTTCAAACCTTTACTTCAGACAGGCTGCAGAAAAATCCCAGCATCTCGTTTATATCCTCTAACCATCACTTTCATCACAAAAGGTTCACAGAAGCAAACACTCAACAGTCCAGAGATAGGAACTTTCTCTACACAGTTAATGGAACCCAGAGTTTACAAGCGGAGATTAAGCAAAGAGACATTACCCTTACAAGTTCAGGTTGAAAACAAAACTAGATTTATACCCCATTCACGTAAGAGTGAAACTGGGTCTTCAGCTAATCCACATATCTTGAATATTTTAAAATCTCATCGTTGAAAGCTCCTTTACAACATACATCATGCAAGTTAACAAGTTTAACCAATAAAATCCATTTCTGATATCCAATAAGCTAAAAGAGCAAAGATGGTCCAAAGCAGAAACAAGAGGGTGGCTTACAGTAGCAACACGTACAGTGCTTTATGATACAATGCCAGCTGACCACACCTGCACAGCGCAGCACCGATGAGCACTTGGCTCCTGGCTTAACATACGCTATACACATATATACAACATTGCACAGTAGCTACTGAAGTGTTTTAAAGTAAACTAGACAAAGTAACAATTTCTAAATAAAAATATTTTAAGAAAACACAACAAAAGACAGAAAATGTTTTTAGAACAGATTCATGTAACTAAAGGGAACTTACTAAAATAAAAGGTATACTTTCATCTGAATAACAAAGGTAGAATACAGTCATGTAAACTTACTGTATTCTGATAAAACTCATCATAAACAGAATTCAAATGACCAGAGACTCTGTCTTCAAAAATGAAGATATTAAGTTGCATAATACATACCATTCACAGGGCTGAAGGGATCGAAACGCCTTAAAAGAAGCATCCATTCCAGCAAAATCCCAAAATTTAACATCATAGTCATATCCTCCAGTCACTAAACGGGCACCTGAGGGATCCAGACCCAAAGCAGAAACCTGTTATTAAAAAAGAAAAAATTAAATGGAGAGAAACTATTTATAGTCTATTATCACCCCCATTTCCTTTCTTTAACCCTGCTGCTCTGCTGCTGCCGCTGCTGCTAAGTCGCTTCAGTCGTGTCCAACTCTGTGCGACCCCACAGACAGCAACCTACCAGGCTGCTCTGTCCCTGGGATTCTCCAGGCAAAAATACTGGAGTGGGGTGCCATTTCCTTCTCCAACNTGCTGCTCTGCTGCTGCCGCTGCTGCTAAGTCGCTTCAGTCGTGTCCAACTCTGTGCGACCCCACAGACAGCAACCTACCAGGCTGCTCTGTCCCTGGGATTCTCCAGGCAAAAATACTGGAGTGGGGTGCCATTTCCTTCTCCAACGCATGCATGCATGCTAAGTCGCTTCAGTCGTGTCCGACTCTGTGCAACCCTACAGACAGCAGCCCACCAGGCTCCTCTGTCCATGGGATTCTCTAGGCAAGAATACTGGAGTGGATTGCCATTTCCATCTCCTCTCTAACCCTACTTCCTACATTATAGGATGAAAATATAGATCACTAACTGCTGTTACTTATGAAAAGTAAAAATGGACAGTACCCTCTAAATCATTTGACTTTATTATGAGTATTATTTCCTTAAAATACAAGAAAATATTTTTTTAGTTTACTGTAATTGGAGGACAAGTATAGTATTGTGATGGGTTTTGCCATACATCAACATGAATCAGCCATAGGCATACATTTGTCCCCTTCCTCCCGAACCCCCCTCCCCCTTCCCTCCCCACCCCATCCCTCCAGGTTGGCACAGAGCACCAGCTTTGGGTTCCCTGGGTCATACATCAAACTCCCACTGGCCATCTACTGTAATTTTATCTAATCACCAGCTTCATCCCTGCTTCTCTACCATGTACTCTGAATAGCTATCACTGCAAATTCATACGATACACTAAGCTGCCTTAGAATGTAAGTAGGTATCTTAAAAACAATTCATTTTTTCAGTAAAAGATTTTGAGAAAGCCTTTTAAGACTGTTTGACTGTTACCAAATGAAGAACACATGAATCTAAAATTACCAAAATGAGTCATGTGAATAGGAACCATAAATGAATTTAACAAAATAAAGTGAAAATTATTATCTTGTGAATATGGCTAAATGACTCTAAGTATAGTCACCTCAAACAATTATTTTTAAACATGAGTTTATAAGTAACTGGCCACATTTTAATATCACTTATACTGGTTCCATAAACTATTTGCTTTCCCTGTTAACTCTCTGAGGTCCAACTCACATACAAATATCCAATGTGTAGCTCACTGTTCTTGAGCTGTATTTAACATTCTTCTAGAAGCAGTTAGTCCCTGGATCTACTGCCTCTCAGAAGGAAAGAAATGCATTTGGACTGCATATTAAATGTGATTATCATATATGAGACAGAAAAAGGATCACAGTTTGAAATAAAGAAAGGGAAGCTCATAAAGAAAGTTACTATAAATCAATTCTCTAAATAAACATGAAATGTTAAGTTACAGAAGAAATCATATGAAACCTGGAATTTGCTTAAAACAACCCCACAAAGTAGGCAGATGGCATGGGGGAAAGGAGGTTTATTAGAAATGTAAAGTATACAGGAAACAAGATTGGCCTTATGTCAACAATTGGTAAGGCTCAGAGACAAATATATGGGAATTCCTTTCAGTATTCTCTATAATTCTGTGAATGTGTAAACATTTTTACAAAAACTAGTTTAAAAAAAATATATAAAAAAAGACATATTTCCAAAATTTTTAAAAGACCTATTTCCAAGAAATTGAAATACATGTGAAAAGCAGGACTGCAAAGAAGAAAAAAAAATTAGTTAACCTAATAGTACAACTAGAAGCTCTGATTTTTAATGTGTAAAATAACAAAGTATTGTTTAAATTGTATACATTTATTTTATTTTTTAATTTTAATTATACATATTTTTAAAGATAAAATTTGCTTTGAAAAAATATGAATATTTAAATAAGATTTATTATTTATGTTATTAACAGAACTATCTGTTGCAAAAATCTCTATGTGACAGGAAAGCTTCCTTTTTAAGTACTAGTAGTCTATAATATTTTTTCTTATTTACCGAAAAACATGAAAATTAGTAAAATTCTTTCATGATTTCAGAATAAAACTATAAATATGTGACTTAATAAAAAGTAGGCATAGTATATAGAACTAGATGGAAATGGCAGCAATGAAAGGCAGCAATGCCCAGATATTTTGGTTTCAAGAACTTTAACGCTCAAAATCTTTTGAGAACCCCTAAAAATATCTGTTTATGAAAGTTACGTGCGTCAATATTTACCATAGCAAAAATCAAAATTAAGACATTTATAATATTTACTTCATTTAAAATAATAATAAACCCACTGTACTTTATAACCATTTTATGGAAACAATGTTTTCAAAAGTAAAAATTTCATTGGGGAGAATTCATTATTTTAACATGCATGACTATTAATTCTATCATTTACATTATTTCTGGACCTATTTCTATTGATTGACATTTTTCTGCCTAATTACAGGATTTTACTTCTTCACATGTCAGATATCTATTAGAAAAAAAGGTTGCTTCATTATAAAGGGAAACCAAGATAATTTTATTCTTTTATTCATTCACAAGCAAGTTTCATTCATTCAACTATCATTTTTAATAAAATACTATTAAATCCTTTTTTTTTTTACAATAAGATAGGTGGCACCAGTGATAAAGAACCCATCTGCCAATGCAGGAAACTTAAGAAATGTGGATTCCATCCCTGGGTCAGGAAGATTCCCTGAAGAAGGAAATGGCAATCCACTCCAGTATTCTTGCTGGGAAATCTCAAGGACAGAGGAGCCTGGCGGGCTCCAGCCTATGAGGTCGCACAGTCCATGAAGTCGCAAACAGTTGGACAGGACTGAAGTGACATGGCAAAATCATTTCATCTTACACCTCAAAATTTTTAAACTGCTTTAATTTTTAAATTAAAAATTTTAAATGCTTTTGAGCTGTGGTGTTGGAGAAGACTCTTGAGAGTCCCTTGGACTGCAAGGAGATCCAACCAGTCCAGCCTAAAGGAGATCAGTCCTGGGTGTTCATTGGAAGGAGTGATGTTGAAGCTGAAACTCCAATCCTTTGGCCATCTGATGCAAAGAGCTGACTCATTTGAAAAGACCCTGATGCTGGGAAAGATTGAGGGCAGGAGGAGAAGGGGACGACAGAGGATGAGATGGTTGGATGGCATCACCGACTCAATGGACACAGGTTTGGGTAAACTCTGGCAGTTGGTGATGGACAGGGAGGCCTGGCGTGCTGAGGTTCATGGGGTCGCAAAGAGTCGGACACGACTGAGTGACTGAACTGAACTCAATTTTTAAATTACATAAATAAATGTGACAATTATAAAATAGAATCCATAAATCTAAGGAATATAATCTTTAGAGTCATAATAAGCTTATGTTCATTTCTTATCTCAACATCCACCTAAAAAATGAACTCAGGCCTCTTACTGATACAGAAATGAAAAGCCAAGGGTAATGAGAAGTTTTCCCACACCATAACAAAAAAAAGTATTTGAGTTTCATTTCTTTCTCTCATTTACAGTGTTCCTATATTGAAGAAAGAGGTTTTAAAGCCAACAATAACAATGACAATTTTCCTTAACAATAACAATAACAATTTCCTTAATGAATAAGTGTTCCTATTTTAAATGAAATGCAATGGCTATTTTGACTGAACGGAAAGGTAATCTGTTTTCCTTAATGTTCATCATTAAGGAAATGTCTATCTCAATTTCTTTGTGATATCAGTTGATTGTATAATGGCCTTAATATATCATATTATTTCACTTTTCCATGAGAGCCCTGTTATTGAGGGAAAATAATTAAATTTTTTAAACTTACTGTCTTAGTGCCATGCTTTAGCGTTATTTCATGGGAGTCAGGGATCTTTCGGACAGGATTCTGAAAAAAGAAAATTCCATGATGTTAAAAAGTAATATACCATATTTGAGAGGAACTACATACATTCACAGGAAATTTAATTTTTAAAAGTTGCATCACTGGATGTTTAACACAAAACTTTAAAATACTGGAAATAAAAACTGTGAGTATATCATTTCTGAACTTCTAGATAGATTACGCTGAGCTGATAATAAATTTATCTTATATTGCTGAAAAGCTAAACCTAACTTCCAGATATTCAAGCTGGTTTTAGAAAAGGCAGAGGAACCAGAGATCAAATTGCCAACATCTGCTGGATCATCAAAAAAGCAAGAGAGTTCCAGAAAAACATCTATTTCTGCTTTATTGACTATGCCAAAGCCTTTGACTGGGTGGATCACAANGAATTGATGCTTTTGAACTGTGGTGTTGGAGAAGACTCTTGAGAGTCCCTTGGACTGCAAGGAGATTCAACCAGTCCATCCTAAAGGAAATCAGTAGTAAATATTCATTGGAGGGACTGATGTTGAAGCTGAAACTCCAATACTTTGGCCACCTGATGTGAAAAACTGATTCATTTGAAAAGACCCTGATGCTGGGAAAGATTATGGGCAGGAGGAGAAGGGGACGACAGAGGATGAGATGGTTGGATGGCAACACCGACTCAATGGACATGGGTTTGGGTAGACTCCGGGAGTTGTTGATGTACAGGGAAGCCTGGTGTGCTGCAATTCATGGGGTTGCAGAGTCGGACACAATTGAGCGACTGAACTGAACTGAAGAAATTCTTTAGGTTGTATGAAACTTTAAGATCCTCTCCATACAGAACATTCTTAAAGTCCTCTTTTCATTGGTACTTGGGCATACCTTAAAGTATTTATGCACTTAACTTATAATAGAAAACACATTTGTCTTAGAATTTGCACAGGATATATACCTTTTAACCCATAAAAGATTAAAAAACAAAAAACTAATATTCAAATGGTACAAATATGGAATTCAGTGATTGATCAATTCAAAAAGCCTTTATTAAAGTGAGATTATACCAGATGCTAAGTGGCATTAGACACAGCCTCTACTCATCTTCCCTCCCAAGAGGGAAACACCAATAACTCTGCATGCTATGTTAGAAAGGGTATGGACAGATCAATGGAGGGACAGAGACAATGGATGCATAAACCAGACATAAGAGGTCACAGTGATCATTTATGTAAGAGGTTTCATTGTTTAATCAAGTCTCCATTATCCAAGTGTAGGGTAACTATACTAAAATTCTACAGTCATTACAAATTCATGTTAGGACTATCTTGCAATCTACTTAATTAAACATGTACAATCTATAGATTTTGGTTTCTGACTTCCCTCCTCCTTCAGGATCACAGATGAACCGATCACCAATTCATTCTCGTTTATCTTAAATCTTTCCCCTACTATGGCTCTTTCTTCTCAGCATATGAACAATCAAAGTACTTCCCATATTAAACCACGCACACACTAACTTCCCCCTATGTTTACTGCTGTATCATTATCTTTTCTTTATCTTTTCTTTCCTCACACTACATTTACACTCAGTGCCTCTACTTTCTTTCACCTTCTACCTCTACCATTTAAGCATTTGTCATTTAACTCCTAATGCCTAGCAGAGGTTTTAGCACTTAAGGGACTCTTAGTAAATATTTCTTGAATGAATAAATACTATTAATGCCCCAGGGTACTTCACAGACCTTAACCTGCACATCTGACCTTTCATCAGCATGATAACTTCATAACTATTTCCTCCACCTTGAAAAATGTTCCTTCTTGGGAGGAATCAGCCTTGACAAAAAGCCAGAAAATCTAGGGTTTTAAAATCAAGCTCTGATACTCATTAACCCTGTCATAACCTCAGAAGAGTAACGACTCTCGGTTTCCTTATTTGCAAAGAGGATAACATCTGCCCCTTAGGTTACTGTGAAGTAAGTGTTTTAAAGGTCATAATACAGAGTCTGGCACAAAGTAGGTGCTCAATAAGTGACAGCCACCATTTATTCTAAGCCATAGCTCCTGTCTCTCTGGTCATATTAGTCTATTTCTAGGCTTCTCCTCCTCTTTATTTGGCTAATTTCTACTCACCCTTTAAGACTCAATTCAGATGTGACCTACTCCTGAAAGCATTTCTCAACATTTCAAACTCTGAATTAAATGACCCTTCTGTGCTGTGCTATGCTTAGTCACTCATTCGTGTCCAACTCCTTGCTATCTCGTGGACTGTAGCCCGCCAGGCTCCTCTGTTCATGGAGATTCTCCAGGCAAGAATACAGGAGTGGGTTGCTATACCCTCCTCCTGGGGATCTTCACAGTTCAGGGATCAAGCCCATGTCAGCATGCATTTCCTGCACTGCAGGTGGATTCTATACCCACTGAGCCACCTGGGAAGCCCCACAGAACCTATCATAATACACTGTAGTTTTTGACCTCTCTCTCTCCACACCATTCCCTAACCAAACTGCAAAAGAGATACTTCTCAAAGACTGTGAGGTCACACACAAACACACACACATAATGTCTCTAGTTCCCTAATCTATAAAACACTTGGTATACAGCAGGCGCACAAAAGTTTTTAGAGTTAATTAATGGCCATTACAATGTCTACCTTGTAAATCATATTAGGTAATCTTTAATTTACCTCAAACATTAGTGTTTATGTCCATAAAGAAGAACAGGTAGGTGCTATCCATCAGGTGAGTGTTCTGAGTGACAGTCAAAGATAACTGACAATTTTCCAAAAGTAAAAACCTTTGAAGAAGTCCTGTCCCAGACTAAAAAAGCACATATAAAGTTGCAAGTACAGAGAAATAAAGGCGATTTTGTTTTAGACTTGTTTGCCTCTGAAGGTGGCTATAGTTCATTAGCACCACAGATCAGTAAAGGAGATCAGGAACCCAGAGGCACTGCACAAAAACACTGACCTCACAGTAACCCAAGGAAGTGCAGGAGAGTTTGCAGTTTATTTCAAGACAAAGATATTACAGTATGGTTCACTATCTCTTGGAAAGTCCTACACACACCAATCTCAGAGATATCAATATTCCAACACAAATTTCAAAATAATGTAAAAGCTGAACAAATGAATTCTGGACTACCTCTACATTAACTATGTAAACCACTGCTTCCTCTGCAGCTGACAATACTTGTAAGTAATAAAAACTCATGTAAAGGTGCTGAATACTCTTACAAGAAACAGGAGAACAGTTCAAATGCTTTACTTAGAGAAGAATCTATTACACTATCATTTCATAACCAATGACTATTTTATCACTCAGGAAAGAGAAACACTGTCACCAAAAGGAAGGATGAAAATTATTTCACTGAATTCAATGCAGAATGTGCCTATATATAGATAATTTTTGACATTTAAAGAAAAAACTTACAAGAACACAGAACAACTTAGTATTTACATTAGGAGTAAATTAAATATTTAAATAAATATTGTTTACATTTAAAATCAAAGTTTTACTGGAAATCATGTAGGACATAACTCATAAAAAGCCCATATAATTGGCACAACTAAATCATCTAAAATAGTAGCAATCCATCTTTTGGTAGCATATCACTTGATGGTGACTGTTCTTTGTCCAGAACTTTTACTAATGACTTTTTGAAATATGGCTTAGTGTGAAATTTGCTATAACAGTAAAACATTTTCAAGATTTCCCTGCCAGAGGACATCATAAACTACAAGACCTCAATGAAGTCATTTATTGCCAAAATTCATAACAAGAGCTACACTCTTAATGGAAGATGGGAAAAGATATCAGTTTCTGTTTTGGTTTGATTTTAAATGCCAACCAAAGGATTATTTCCCAGGCTCTTTCATTTACCTCAATAAGAACAATGATAGCAAACATATCTGGAATAACATGAGCAATTCCATCTGATGTACATACATCCTTACAGTGTTTTCAAAAGAACTGAAAATCATTAATAACCTTTCTGGAATAAATTTGTCATAAATTTTAAAAGTTAGATATGTATAGTACTTCGAGTCAAAATAAAAACAGTCTCCTCAGTAATAAATGCCTACCACAAAGCAGCTAGTAGTTGTGGCAGAAAATGGAGATTTCCATAAAGGAGCTTGAAAATGAGTGCTACTTTCTCCCAGAAACCACTCTGGAAATAGTTACCAGTGTAGTACCATTGTTTTTCACTGTTTAGTCACTTAGTCATGTCTGACTCTTTGTGACCCCATGAAATGTAGCATGCCAGGCTTTTCTGTCCTTCACCAACTCCCAGAGCTTGCTCAAATTCATGTCCATTGAGTCAGTGACACCATCCAACCATCTCATCATCTGTTGTCCCCTCCTCCTCCTGCCTTCAATTTTTCCCAGCATCAGGGTCTTTCCCAGTTCTTTTTATCAGGTGGCTAAAGTATTGCAGCTTCAGCACCCATCATTCCAGCGAATATTCAGGACTGATTTCCTTTAGGATTGACTAGTTGGCTCTCCTTGAAGTGCAGGGGACTTCCAAGAGTATTCTCCAACACCTCAATTTGAAAGCATCAATTCTTCAGTGCTCAGCTTTCTTTATGGTCCAACTCTCACATTCATACACTATTACACCCATACATGAAAAACCAGTTTTCACTATAGAGACTTTTGTCGGCAAAGTGATGTCTCTGCTTTTTAATACACTGTCTAGGTTGGTCATAGCTTTTCTTCCAAGGAACAAGCATCTTTTAATTTCATGGCTGCAGCCACAGTCCGGAGTGATTTCGGAGTCCAGGAACATAAAGTCTGTCACTGTTTCCATTGTTGCCCTGGAGTCCAGGAACATAAAGTCCGTCACTATATTTCCACTGTTGCCCCATCTATTTGCCATGAAGTGATGGAACCGGATGCCATGATATTAGTTTTCTGAATGTTGAGTTTTAAGCCAGATTTTTCACTCTCTTCTTTCACTTTCATCAAGAGGCTCTTTAGTTCTTCTTCGCTTTCTCCCATAAGGGTGGTGTCATCTGCATATCTGAGGCTATTGTTATTTCT